TTTTGACGGTCATATAGTATGGGAGAAATTGGAACAAAAAAGTTCCGAATCCCGGAACTTTTGACGGACATGGAGTGGGAGCACTTTAAACCACCCGTTTCGTTTTTTTTAGCCGTTCTCTAAGTCAATTGCTCTGTATGCAAGACAAAAAAATGTGTAGTAATAGTGAACTTAACTACCGTATATGGTAAGAGGAATTTTGAGTGACCTGATTTTGGACCTTGAGATAGTGCTTTCCGTCCTGGAGAGTGGGTTGGTCCTCTAAAAATGTTTTCCTCCTCAATAAACAGCGTATTTCAAAAGTCCCTCTGCTCTGATAGGCACGAACGGCACCCTTACTTATTTTTTCAAATGGCACCCCCATCTTTTAGGTAATTCATCATTGGAAAAGGGCATGAAAAAAATGGCGTGGAATTTAGATCAGCCTCCATCATCGTTTCAAATTGCTGCTGATTAAAGTTCATAATGGTCAAAAAAATTATTTTGGCAAACCCATAAGTGGATTCGCTTCAAACATTGAATCCAGTTTTTCTTTTTCTGGAACAGATTGCACTCACCTACTTACGAGGTGAGTAGAAAAATAGTGAATGTAATTGAATGGAACCATTACAGAATTTATAATTTCCCACAGGTATTTTATTCCTGTTTTTTTTTCTCCTATGTATTAAAATCCTATGTAGGCTAAGCTTGTAAGCGCTGTTTGGACCTCATCAGTAACGATACAGTTTTGAGCTGTTTCCCAGTGACACGACTCAGCATGTATTTGTGCAGATCGCAGCTCTTAGTTAGACGTAAAGCCTAACATTAAGGCACAATTAATCGGTATGAAATTTCAATTGGACTAAACTTTACAATATGGAATTACTATTTCAGGCTCAGTGAGAAAATCAGCTATCTGTATAGGGAAAATCAAAAAGAGAGAGGGAAAGTAAGGAAAAGGGGGAGCAGAATGAGAGAAAGCAGAGGATAAAGAAAATGTAGAAAAAGGGGAAGAAAAGGGAGGAGGGGAAGAAGAGGAAGAAGAAAGAAAGAGAGGAATAAGAGAGTAAAAAGAAGAAGAAATCGAATAAAAAGAGAGAAAGGATGAAGAGGAGGAGGAAGTATAGGAGGGTCCAAAATGCATGTAAAATTTCGGTGGTAGTTACATTCTCTTCTATTTACTTGTTATAGTAGGAAGGGTAAAAGTACTGGCCACCTGGAAGGAAAATTGCAACTTTCCTTCTTTTACAAATTTTCAGTTTAAAATTCATTTTTTCATTTTCCATTACACTGAAAAAAAAGTAGTTAGCGTTGAGAACTAATTTGGTTGGTTCTCGCCAAGTAGAATCAAAATTAGGCTTCAGAACTAATTTATTGTACTGAAGCACCAATCAATTCGCTTCATACGCTGACTTGACTTTACTAGAGCGCGAACCAGAATTGGAAAACAGCACTAGCTGTAAAATTAGCGCTGTGGTAAGACAAATTCACCTTCGGGTCAAACTAATTCGCCCTCAACACTAACTGCCACATTGTCCGTTACATTTATTTAGTTTCGAAAAAGTGGCGTCGGTACAACAGCCTCAATCGCGTCAGCTCGTGAAAATCAATTAAAATGTGAAATTTCGGGCTCGTTTGACAATGTAAATACTCCCGGTATGATTTATAGTGTCCTCTCTTTCTTGAAAACGTTCGAAAGCAACATAAATAAACCTGTTAAGGTTAGAAATCGTCTGTTCGATTCAAAACGTAAACAAGCATGATATTCGTTGGAGTCGTCAATCTTCTGTATTAAATTGCGATTAAAGCGTTCCGCGTTCAGTTTATATTTTACGAAAATCTGTGAACTTACTGCTTACTTCTATAGTTCGTGTTCTCCCGTAATTTCAAAAGAATATCTCAAGTGTTCGGACGAGATATGTTTATTCAGTGTGAACATTCGCTACCGTTTCATGTGTGAGTGTGTGTCTCTCTAAAGGATAATTCTGTCTACTTGCACATACCTATGGGATATTCCTTTCCTCTGTCGTTCATTTGGAACCGGTCAGTTGATTTTTACCTCTCATCTTTTAAGAAATCTTCTTTTCCTGAAAGTATTGTCCAGTTATCATTCGCTAAGCCGTTTTCTCCTCTCTCAGTTTTGAGGTTAGGTTGACCCAACCCTACCGAATGCGAATTAGAGTAGCGGAATTAGTTTCCAGCACTAATAGTGGTTAGTGTACAGAAACCAAAAATCATGTGTGTCCAAATCACACAATTTGAGTTAGTGTATAGAAACCATTTTTAGTCATCTGACGCTAACTCATTTTTTTCAGTGTACTTCACTATGGAATTGGATTCATCATCCGCAAACATCCCGTATAACTTCCACAGGCTCTTCATCAGTTAGCAGAGAAAAAAACATCACTAACTAAATAACGCGATTTAAACCAACTGAGATGTCTTTCCGAATGATAAGCTCGCCATTTGAATAATGCGCGGAGCGTAAAACAATGGAAGAATGTACGAAGTTGGGTTTGGGCGCAACATGCAACTATTTGAACTCCGCGGTGGGCCGGGTTGCATACGCTCGAATATGAAGGCGAATCTGAGATCTGCCAGCGGTTTTCGAAATAGGGCACAGGTGAAATTGATGTTTTCCTCGAGCGCGACGTCGATTTCGGTCGACTATTTGGGCGCTCCTGTCGCACAGATTTGTATTGCAATTTTAACAAACTGAAATGCCGTGAATATTTCATTCTCCGTAAATGAGAAAATGTAAAGAATTGGAATCGCCACCATTAAATTGTTTTTATCTTTGCCTCTGTATTTAAAACTTTCTTCCTTCTTATAGAATGGATTTCTGTAAATTACGGCAAGTGCCTAGTGTAAGTCTTAATTCATCATCTGATTCATATATTAATATTAAATTCCACATTCGAATTACACCTTTGCATCTGTTATATTTTGGGTGCACTTCTAGGTACGAGTTTTGTTGAAGTTTGTCCAGTCTCCGTTGTTCAAGGCCAGCGCATAATTTCAGTGCCGAGCTTGTCTTTTGGAAAGCATCTTAGTTTGTTAAAATCGTGTTGCAAATCTGTGCGACAGGAGCGCCCAGATAGTTGACTGAAATTGACGTCATACTCGAGGAAAACACCATTTTCACCCGTGTCCTATCTAGTAACCCGTGGGCAGATCTCAGATTCGCCTTCAAAATCGAGCGTATGCAACCCGGCCCATCGCAGAGTTCAAATAGTTGCATGTTGCGCCCAAACCCAACTTCGTACATTCTTCCATCGTTTTACGCTCCACGCATTATTCAAATGGCGACCTTATCTTTCGGAAATACATCTCAGTTGGTTTAAATCGCGTTATTTAGTTAGTGATGTTTTTTTCTCTGCTAACTGAGCCTAGAGGAAGTTATACGGGATGTTCTCGGACGATTCCCAGTTCCAAAGGTGTGTACTGGAAAATGTCAAAAAGAATTTTAAACGGAAAATTTTGTTGCTTATATTAATTTTTTGGTGGAGAGGAGGACTGGACACTTATTCTGCATCACTTGGACATGACGAGAGCCTAAAAGAATACTTCCTTGTCGGAAAATTTCAATCATGCCTTGATGCTATTCATTTTTTCGCTGGATTGCATTTCTTACTCAATAACTATCACACCGAAAAAAAAGTGATTGCTGATTTAACATTCTGAATGTAAAAAAGTGTGCGAAAACTCACAAAACGCTGGATTAATTGCTACAGCAGTTACTTTAGCAAAAGATGTAAAACTCACTGCTGTGGCGGTTAATTCAGCGTTTTGTGAGTTCTCGCATACTTTTTTACATCCAGAATGTCAAATCAGCATCACTTTTTTTTCGATGCAGCAGGCTGGCAGTGACACGAATCTCCGGAGGTTGGGCCGCCGACCGGCCAGAAGGTGGATCTCCTAGTTTCAGAAAAAAGACTAACCAATTATCCTAATACCATAATTAAGATGTGAAAGATTGAGGTGACCAGATCATCATAACAGCCGAGGTGGACGGACAAAAATCAGTCTAAATTGAACTGCGTTTAACAGAGAGGAAGCAAGCCACAACAGTTATTGCCAAATTCAACTGGGCAACTTAATTTTTTACAAGAAAACGTTTGTGCGGATTCCTTTGAAAATTTTAAGGACTTTGCGTCGTACTATGGAGAAAATTCACTGAAACTTGCACGAAAATCCGCCCAACCGTTTTCATGTAAAAAATTAATTCGCCCGATTAAAGGCAATAGCTGATGCGGCTTGGTTCCTTTCTGTTTAACGTGGTTCATTTCTGCCGTGCTGAGGAAAAAGGCAGTATGAGCCTTCAGACGTTACCAAATTTCCTTCAGTAAATCACGAATTTCCGGAGAAATCTGTACATATTTTTCATCCAATTTTTCGGGTAATTATGTTCGCAATTTCACCTGAAGCCCCTGAAAATTCCAAAGGAAAATATCCATAGCTTCACTCAAAAATAAACATTTTATCGGAGGAAATTTGGCAACTCCCAAATGTTCATACGGCGTTCTTCCTTAGCACAGCAGAATTATCACGTGATGCTTCGTTCTACGCCGCCCACCCTCATGTAGCATCGCGCATCGCTGGAAAAGAGCTCTCACCCATCCCCTCCTCAAGCGTTAAATAATTTTTGGACGACCTTGCGCTTCCGAGCCTCGAATAATCCTGTCAGACGACGGAGCCGCGATTATTAATGCTCTCAGATGAGCGTAGAGAGACGAAGCTTCAGCAGACGCAGAATCAATGAGGCCGGTGAAGAATGGACGCGGACACGGGTTGGACAAGGGAAGACAACGAAGCGACCGAACCGGCGAGACTTGGAGCATGAATGAAGACGCGCGCTGGGTGGATATTCGTTGCATGAGTGGGAGTGCGGAGAAGACTGTTAATGATAACGATTCGGAAGCCATCGTCTTGTTCACGAGCTTCTGACCCCACCGCGCGCCCCGCAACCGCGACGCGACGCGGCGCGGCGTGGCGCGCCCGACGCCAGTACGACGCGGAACCATGGCGCAGGAACGTGGCGCTCTTGTCTTTCACCTGCCCGGGCTCCGCGCATGCGCATAGACTCGCGATGGGTTCATGCATGCAGGTAACCTAACCTTACTTTTCACCGAACGGCCTTGTCCGAGCGGCGGCGGCGTAGCGCGGTGCGGTGCGGTGCGGTGCGGTGCGGCGCGGCGTCGACAGTACGTCAGGTGCCACCAGCCAGCAGTGCTGACCCGACAGTCCGCCCCTCGGGTGAACCTCCTCTTTGCCTTTTCCGCCGTCGCTTGCTCATTCATTGTTCACGCTGTTTTGTCGGGTTTATTTTGTGCCTTCCAGTTTTCCATCGCACGGTGCTGTGACACGATCGCCTTGTTAGTCGGTTTCTTTCCTCGTTTCCGAGAAACACGCGTAAAATTCGGATTTCGATTCGTCCCAGTACCTGCTCGTCCCTCATTTTAACATTTTACAGTGCTCCTATATGATTTCATAATAACTCCGTGCAATACTCGGGCTTCAAGTGCTTCTGCTTTTCCACGAGTGATACTTATATGGTGCTTCCTCATTTACTCGGCTGCAATTTTTTTAGTGTGTGTACTTACCGTACTTATTTAAAATCTGTTCATATCAACTTCATTCATGATTACTGTATGTTCCGTGATTTTAACCCCAAGTGATCGGTCATCATGTTTCTTATTATGATTACATACACTCAATCGTTTATGATCCTGCTTTTAACTTCTTGAAGAGGTGATTTCATGTTTCATGTGGTTTTTTACCTATCCCCGGCCAGTGTTAAAAATGATCCGGTAAAAATCGCGCTCTCATTGATAGAAAACGCGTTTACGTAATTCATAGTTTTATTTACTCTTTTTTTGACTGGTGTTAGTTTTTTCCTAATTCTGTGCCCTTATGGATTTACTGAGGATGCAGTTATTTTGACGAAAGCCGGAGCATTATTCTCACTGAATTCTTCAGCGCGTCATGAGAGAAGTGGATACAGAGAGTCCCGTAGTGTGGCCAGCTTGGTGTTATTCAGGTAAAAAAATACAACATTTTACTCACTTATCTACCTACTTTTTACCTCGAGTTTTTATGGAGTGAGTATGTCGAGCAGAGGAGAGAAGATTGGACAAAAGTAACCCCAGGAAACCGCATCATTCAACTGAAATGCATGTGCTAACCAATGGCCCAACTGTTGATTTATGCACTTCAAGTTGATGTAACAATTATCCAATGCTGCCATGCCGAAGGCCGTATCAGACTATCAAAGTTGAGCCCTTAAAGTGGCATCACGTGACCCTCAGTGATTCTCAAAGATTGTCGTGGCGACGATCTTTCAGGGTCACGTGACCCCACGTGACACTACTTCGAGGGCTATACTTTTGATCTTTGAAACGGGTTGAAGGTATAGTCAGCAACAAATTTAGGATTTCCAAGTTATAATGAGTAAATCATCGATTTAGCGCTGAATACGTGGAGTAGAGTCATATTAGGAAGTAGCATTTTTATTCATTATCATCGCGCCGGAAAATTTTCGATTTTGGCTTTTACGTAAAGTGCATTTGATACTTTCAACCTGGTAGAAATTATTCCGCAATTAGTGAACTTATGGTAAGATAAGGTCTCTGGTCCTTGACTTAGCATGGCTCGTTACCTCTGTTTCCTCCATCAAAATGAGCCCATCAAAACTTGTTGAGTGTCGCCGATCAAACTAAAGAGGCGCATCTACTTTTAGATCAACTTAAATTGCGGACAGAGTATCGAATAAATGTCTTTTGATGGGAGTTTCGCAATTAAGTATTGTTGATCAAAAAGTAAAATTACATCTTAATTTTTATAAATAACACTCGACTGCCGCATCGACAGATGATGACTCACTTTGTTCATTTTGATCGTGGAAACAAGTAAGCATAATATTTTCTTTCTCCAGTCCAAAAGGGCCGCAGGAGGCAAAAAGGCCGCGCCTTTCCTTATTTCATAGAAAGCACGTTCTGTTGGAACACATAAGCACGTTTGTGGAGATGAGAATGCAAAAATAATCATGGTAGGAGTTTAAAAAAAATCGCGACAAAATATGAAAAAAGGCAATAGTGTATTTCCGTCGGAAAAAACACTAAAAACCTCCTCGTCTCCTCCTAGTCTTTTTTTCTTTTTCTTCTTCTTCTTCTTCTTCTTCTTCTTCTTCTTCTTCTTCTTTTTTAGCTAAATACCGCCTTTATAAAAAAATCTGTCTCCTGATCTACTGTAAAAATTACCTAAGTGCTGCTCCTGCCTCAAAGACCATCACGGCTTACGATTGCGTCGGGAAATTATTTTTAAAATGGCTGCCAAAAAGGGAATCTCTCTATACCCCATCAGAGAAGCCTCTGATGACGACGGGACTTTGCAAATCGAATTTCTTGGGTTCGAATGACCTCACGGGAAAAAAAAAACATATTGGATCGAGAGTCCAGACTCTTGAAAACATCGACAAGAAAAAATACTCTTGATTCAATCAGATTTAAGCTTAAATCAAGAACCGAGCCTCTTAATTTGAGCGGATTTCCTTTTGATTTAAGCTTAAATCTGCTTGAATCAAGAGTCCTTTTTCTTGTCAATGTTTTCAAGAGTCTGGACCCCACATCCAATGTGTTTTTTTTTTTTTCCAGTGCTCGAAAGGATCTTTTTTCCGAGCCTCTACGTAGGTACATTTAGCGAACTTTTATTCTCTGAAGGGGGACTCTGTTCCCCACCTTTAGGGGTCAGTATTTCGGAATTGGATGGGCCGATTTTGGATTTTCTGGTGTCAAATGGATCAGTTGCGCTGGTCACAAAAGCGTGTTTTAATGCATGATCCATGTAAATCAGCTAAATATAATACCTAGGATCCGTCCAAACAGCAACTTTCTATGTTCTATATTAACCGAGACATTGCCCTTTGAACAATTCGGTCTATGACGTCATCCACCGTGGTAGTGACACCCTAGGTTTCTTCCACCTTGGTTTCATCCTAGTTCCACGTTGAGTATCCAGTGCAAATGTGCGTCACACAGACTGCTGAAAGCGAGGTCGAAGGATCTTCAAAAATCAATCATCCAAACACGATTCTGTGACCAGCGCAACTGACCTGTTGGGTCAAACGGGTTTGTACTTTGAGATTCTGATTAAATAATATTAAAATTTTGACGTAAGTTCCAATTTTTGAACGGAATAGTCCCGAGGGAATGCCGGGTCATCGGCCTAATGATTTCAGACTCCTTGAGGTCGATTCTTTACTTGTCTCCGCGGTCTTCGACTTCCTACGACCAATAATAACCGAGAAAAAGGTCTTTCACGGTAGGTTTGAGCTATCCTGTATAATTCCCATTCGGAGAAAGGCACACAAATGGCAATACATTCTCATGTAGGTACGCGTCTGCAAAGAAGCCCAAATATTTGAATACCTAATCCCAGAATAATCAGTCTTGAATATACTCGAATAGAATTCTCTGAAAATATTTATTGAACGGATCTGCAATAAAATAATTGAAGAATTTTTCAGAATATGCTTAGCACAATATTTTGCCGGCAGGACTCCTAGAAGATTCTCAATATATTATCAGCGCATTCCCAGAACATTCATAAAGGTCTCGATACTCGATCAAATTCCGAACAAATTCTGATCACAGTAGAACAGGTTATGACTGATGGTCACCATGCAACAATCCGCTTTGATCCAAATTTGACGGCCCGTCCAAAATGGAGTGCCACCATTCATCATTTCCTTCCGCACGAAACATTTCTGCCCTGTTTTCATTTTATAAGTAAGCAACTAACGATTTTAAGACCGATGACTCTCGACACTTTAATGGTAATTGGTTCGGGAATTTGATCTTGTGTCGAGACCTTAACATATTAAAGGAAATTTGTCGGCACCCACTTCCCACATCGGATTGCGCAAGCAACCTACCCCTTTTGGAATAAGTTTTGGAAGTACCTAATTTGACGGGTTTCTCCACACCTCTCGAGAGTTTTGAGTATAGCATGATGTAAAAGTTATTTTCAATAACCTCTTACGGTTTTCCTTAATGCTCTTCGTGCAATTTTAGGTCAGCTAGGATATAATGAAAGACAAAGAGCTTGAAAATATCATTGTTTGAGGCATCTGTAGTATCTCCATCGGATTCCATGGCATTCAACCCATTTCTCTTAAGCAGTCTAAAGCTGCGATGTACGGCATTCTCGTGTGGCCGCCATCGTTCCGGATGTAGAGCACTTTATCAAATAATTTAATACATATTCAGACAGATTTATGATATGACTCGTTTAAGTAGCTGTAATAAATGCTCAAATTTTTGCCAAATTTCTTAATTTGATTCTAACGGTAATAATTTTTCTTATATTATAATTTTTTTTTACTTTATTACCAAGTCACAGTTATAACAAAAGAGGCATCAGTTAAAAATTTATGATTTCTCGGAATCTGTCCAGTGCCTGTGGTGTGTCTCGAAGGGATATGCGTTCTCCTAAGGCCCTCTCTCCCCACTAACTTTAAGTCTAGTCCAAAAATGTTCAGACAACTTTAAAAAGAGATGCCAATCGTGCTTTTTAACAAGTTTCAACGAATTTAATGCTTTTGCATGCTTATAAAACTCATAGTGGTATAAAAACAGCTCACGGTGTTAATTTTAGCACTCAGCATTTATTTTTTGCCTCAAACTCTCCTAAATGTTGCTGCACTTGCAAACTCGAGTGATTGTATCAAAGGACTATGCAGGTGGTCCTCTTTAACAGTTTTAAATGAATATTGTTCATCAGTCGCTGAGATGTATCAGTTCACACGGAAGTGTGAAGTCAGAGGGGTGACAAATAGAGAAACATGATCCTTTTAAGACTTTTTGGAGACTTAAACGCAAATATAGGAAAGTTGTCGAAAAAAAAGGAGTAAACTACTATATGCCACAAGAACTCGTAAAAAAATACGGAGTATAGCGTGATATGCCCCATCTCTAGCTAGTTTTTAGTGACAGAGAAATGGATCATAGATTGAAGCTCGGAAAATCTTTTGCGACATTACGTACTTACGTTTCATTACACTGGAAAAAAAAACACATTGGATCTAGAGTCCAGACTCTTGAAAACGTTGACAAGAAAAAATACTCTTGATTCAATCGGATTTTTGCTTGAATCAAAACGAAATCCGCTTAAATTAAGAGGCTTGGTCCTTGATTTAATCTAGATTCTGATTGAATCAAGAGTAATTTTTCTTGTCGATGTTTTTAAGAGTCTGGACTCTAGATCCAATGTGTTTTTTTTTTTTTTTTTTNTTTTTTTTTTTTTTTTTTTTTTTTTTTTTTTTTTTTTTTCCCAGTGCTTTGTCCATTGCAACCACCCACTTCCACCGACAGGATCCCTACATATTCCTTTTGCCTTCTCTATCTATGGCTTTGTCTATCAATTTCAATAATCAGCCCGTAGTTTTCGTGAAATTGCACCCTCACGCTCGACCGCTTTCCGCTCGACCGCTCGACCGCTCGGCCGCGCACCACACGACACCTCACTGGGTGCCCTCGGTGTTCAGCCAGCGCAGCGCTCACCATACACCATACACCATACATTGCTCTTTACTCCATTTTTCATGTTAATTAGTACTGCTGCGGCTCCACGGCTTCACGTTCAATGAACTTGCTTAGCCGAGTGATAATGAAGAGTCGCCGAGGCTTTGTTTTTGAAACAAGTGGAGTAAACACCAACACAATCACTTCTCCGTGTAATTTATGCGAGCGCGATAAACTCGCTCAAGGCGCTGGCTCCGGGCGAAAAACAAGGGAATTGCAGGCAAAGCGCAATATTTGGCCATTTTTCTCGGCGCGGAATTGCACCTACAATCACCGCCTGCGGCCGGGATGGGAATCCAACACCTCACTCCTTCGCGGCTAATTCAAAAACGCCACCTATCCTCGCCTTCGAGCCTTGTTGAAACTCCTTTCCACCTGTGCTTTCTTTATGAGTATTGTCACCTCGCCCTGCGGATCCTTTCATTGCCATGGTATGCTACGCACCCCAGGGATTGGAGCC